ACTTTTTCCTCCAAAAACCGAAGAAATTCATGACTATATAATTCCCAAGTCCGAAGGGGTCGGGGCCTGTCTTCTCCAATATCTACACAGATGGGAAGAATCCACAAGTGACAGCTGGGTACTGGATATTATTCGGAGAGGATACCTTATAGAATTTTTCAAGCATCCTCCCAACAGGTCCTTTCATCTCACAAAGTGGCCAGGGGACAAGGAGAAGCGTATGGCTCTACAAGACTTCATTCTATCCTTGCAAGCAGAGAATGTCATCACAGCGGTACCGGCAAGCGACAGAAATCAGGGATTCTACTCTCACATCTTCCTAACAAAGAAATCCTCAGGAGGATGGAGACCTATTTTGGATCTGCACAGATTGAACAAACATCTACACATTCGCAGATTCAAGATGGAATCCCTACAGTCCATTATAAAAGTGATCTCACACAACCAATGGATGTTATCTATAGACCTGTTAGACGCCTACTTCCATATACCCATTGCCCTATCCCATCAAAAGTTTCTGAGATTTGCCGTAGAAGAGGGTCATTTCCAGTTCAGAGCACTCCCGTTTGGACTAAGCACTGCTCCAAGGACATTCACAAAAGTATTGGTAGTTCTGATTGCAGAACTAAGAAAGATGAATATCGCTATCTATCATTATTTGGACGACATCCTAATTGTAGGAGACAGCAAAGATTCATTGACCTCCCAAGCTATTACCTGCATCCAGTTTTTACAAGCTCACGGCTGGAAGATCAACACCAAGAAGAGCCACCTCCACCCAACTCAATCCATGATATATTTAGGTGCTCACTTCGACACTCTGAGAGGTACAGTCCAACTTTCTATGACAAGAATATTGAAGCTCAGGATACAATTGGGAAAGATAATAAAGTCCAGTGTTGTTCCTGCAAAGACGGTAATGAGTCTCCTCGGATCCATGTCATCCACAATAGGTTTAACCAGATGGACACAATGGTGGATGAGACCATTTCAAGCCAATTTCCTGACGCAATATGCTTCCATGAATCTACTCCAACCCATCAAGTTATCCCGAGAAGTACGCCAATCTCTGATCTGGTGGCTGAACAAGGAACACCTTTCCAGGGGGTTTCCGCAAGGAGACATCACATGGATAGCAGTGACAACAGATGCCAGCCAATGGGGATGGGGGGCACATTGTCTCCAACACTTTGCACAGGAAGAATGGAGTTTCACGACAGACGAGGTGCATTCCAATCTACTAGAACTTCTTGCTGTCCTCAAAGCACTAAAACATTTCTCAGTGTATCTCAAAGACCAATGGGTAAAGATAAGGACAGACAACACCACCGTGGTATCCTATATCAATCACCAAGGAGGCACCAGGAGTGGCAAAATGGTGGGAATTATGAAACAGCTGATGGGATGGGTTCAGAGGAACCTAGCAGGGCTTACTGCCATCCACCTACCAGGGAAACGGAATCAATTAGCCGATTTCCTCAGCAGATCCAGGATAGACCCAGGAGAATGGTGCCTATCGGACAGAGCATTCCGCATGATTGTGGACAAGTGGGGTCTCCCTCAAATCGACCTACTAGTTACCTGTGTCAACAGGAAGGTAAAGGTTTACTTCATGAAAGAAAAAGACCATCTAGCACTAGGAAGAGACGTGTTATCCAGCCCTTGGAGATTCAAAATAGGGTATGCATTCCCTCCATTCCCTCTGATTATCCCAATCCTGAGGAGGATGAGAACAGAGAAGGTATCTCTCATCCTGATAGCACCCTATTGGCCTCAAAGGCCTTGGTTTCCCCTACTTCAGAACCTTTCAGTGGAACCTCCTCTCCCTCTTCCCAGAACTCCGGATCTACTGTTCCAGGGCCCAGTGTTGCATCCAAATCCTGTCTCACTAAATCTCATGGCATGGAAACTGAAAGGAAAAGGCTTGTGAACAAAGGATTCTCCCAGGCCGTAATAGAAACTATGCTGAAGGCTCGTAAGCATTCTACTTCAGCCACCTATTATAGAGTGTGGGAAGTTTTTTCCACCTGGGCTCTTCCTAGAAACATTGATCTTCAGAATCCTTCTTCCACGGATATTTTGGAGTTCCTGCAGTCTGGACTTTCTAAAGGTTTGAGTTATAATACTCTAAAAGTACACATCTCAGCTTTGTCCGCCTTAACCAATCATAGATGGGCATTAGATTCAGACGTTATCAGATTCATTAAAGGAGTCCTTAAAATTAAACCTCCAATTAAACCATTTGTTCCCTCCTGGAATCTCCCTTTGGTTCTGAACGCCTTAAAATTAGAACCTTTTGAACCCCTTGAATCAGTTCCTCTGCAGGTTCTGTCTATCAAAACAGCTTTACTGATCGCCCTAGCTTCCGGCAGGAGAGTTTCTGAGCTTCACGCCCTATCCAGTAAGGAACCTTTTACGGTCTTTCATAAGGACAGAGTTATCCTCCGTACTGTTCCTGAATTCAGACCTAAAGTCACCTCCGCCTTTCACATTAACGAAGATATTGTTTTACCATCTCTGACGCCTGAATACCAAGAAAGCGAGAGTTCAACTGACATGTCATCTCTGGACCTAGTGAGATGCCTTCGGATATATATTGAAAGAACGGCAGCTTGGCGCATTTCTCAAAACCTCTTGGTCCTACATAGTGGTAGTAAAAGAGGCTTACAAGCCCCTAAAACTACCATTAGCAGATGGATAGTGGCAGCCATTATACGGGCCTATCAATCCTCTGGTTATCCGGTCCCTGTGGGTCTTAAAGCCCATTCCACTAGGGCCCTCTCATCTTCCTGGGCAGCAGCAGCTAATGTCTCTCCTGAGCTCATTTGTAAGGCAGCCACATGGTCTTCCACCAATACCTTTATTAAAAATTATCAAATTGATGTAAGAGCTGGTCTATCAGATCAATTTGCTAAATCTGTTCTGTCTGTATCCAATACATAATTCTTTGTTTTTTCACTGGTTAATGGTGTTAATACACTTTGCATTCAAAATTTCGAGTCTGTGTTTTTTCTTCCCTCCCTGGTTTATTGCTTGGGTATTACCCAATGTTGTGCTGCCATGGATATGGCCAGGAAAATAGAAAATTTATCCATACTTAATGTAATTTTCTTTTCCTGGTCATAGGCCATGGCAGCACAAGGGTCCCACCCGGGGCTATTGCTGTAAAACATGACTGGGGAAGGAGGGGTTGGAGGTGGTACTTATACGGCTTAATTATTATTCCTGTCCAATGAGGATAGGGAGGAGCTACCCAATGTTGTGCTGCCATGGCCTATGACCAGGAAAAGAAAATTACGGTAAGTATGGATACATTTTCTATTATAAATATATATATATATATATATCTCATACACACACATTCTACATATATATTTAACTATTAACCACATAATTATTTGATTTGTATTAATTATAATTTGAGAGACCTGCCTGACCCAGGCAGACAGAACAGAGCATTTAATTGGCAAGCCCTATATTTAACCTCGTAACTTTCCAAAACAAAATAAAACCTTTACATGGGGGGTATTGTTATACTCGGGAGACTTTGCTGAACACAAATATGAGTATTTTAAAAAGTAAAACTTAACACGACGATGAAATCACTAGTAAAAGTGCAGTTTTTGTGTAAAAATAAATAAATGCAAAAAACAAATATGAACGCGAACTTTGGCAAGCCATTTTGTTTTAAATCTTTTTTTGTTATTATGTCCATCATAAGTAACAGCGTTGCCATGCAAGGGAAGAAGTACATGCCCAATATACATCAGAAATACATATTTTTCCTTCCTTTTTTCTTCTTCTGTTTTTATCTTTTTTTTTTAATCAGAAGTAGCGATGTCTCGAACGGTTCGCCAGCGAATAGTTCCTGGCGAACATCGCTTGTTCGCGTTCGCCACGGACGGTGAACATATGCGCTGTTCGGTCCGCCCCCTATTCATCAAATTTTGACCCTGTACCTCACAGTCAGCAGACACATTCCAGCCAATCAGCAGCAGACCCTCCCTCCCAGACCCTCCCACCTCCTGGACAGCATCCATTTTACATTCATTGTGAAGCTGCATTTTTAGTGAGAGGAGGGACAGTGTAGCTGCTGCTGATTTGATAGGGAAATTGATAGCTAGGCTAGTGTATTCAGTGTCCACTACAGTCCTGAAGGACTCATCTGATCTCTGCTGTAAGGACAGCACCCCAAAAAGCCCTTTTTAGGGCTAGAACATCAGTCTGCTTTTTATTTTCTGTGTAATGTAATTGCAGTTGCCTGCCTGCCAGCCTGTGTGTCAGGCTCACAGCATATACTATGCCCACTTACCCAGGGCCACCACTCACTCACTGGTGTCACAATAGCTTGCATTTAAAAAACAACAACTTTTTGGACTGTAATATAATAGCAGTCGGTTTCCTTCACTAGTGTGCGTTTCAGGGCCTGCCCAGTGCCACCACTCACTCACTGGTGTCACAATAGCTTGCATTTAAAAAACAAAATGTGCTGTTGGGGCCGAGACTGTGTGCATAGATTTGATGATGTCATTCTGCATAACGAGGCAGGTTTATGTTGCAGCATTCTGTAAAACGTTTGTGTGTGTGCGCGCAAAAACTATTAAGATTTAAGCATGCAAACAAATCAAGCACGTTGAGGCTAAAATCAAGTGCATTATAGTGGTACTGGTTCCAGGAATGTCCCTTTAACTTTCTACAAGACTGCTGTTACCTTATAGCCAATGGCTCCCATTGAACAGAAATGTAAATGATGATATCCGGTACAAGACCATTACTAAACTAAAAAAGGCAGCCATTAAGGACCCATGGAGTGTAATGAGAACACCCACAGGGTTATTCATTAAATTGTGGATTTCATATTTGAGGCCTACATAGACAAACTGGACAAATGCTCCAATTCAGCTACTGTGGCCTTAAATTTGAAATTCATTTTGAATCTTGCCAGAATTATTAACTGTATCGTACTCTACATATTACTCCTAACAGACACGTGTGTTTAATCAAGGTATGACGTTTAATTCATAGTTTACCAGCCATATAGTAGGTTTTTTTATTTTTTTTTTAATAGTTTTGTACCACAATTTAATCAAAGCACTGCATTTAGTACACAATGTACCTATTAACATATATACTGTTTTATCCCCTTCTCAAGTACTCTCTTTGCATTAAAAGTGAGAAGTCTACTAACAGGCCTCTGCTTCACCAGCAGATGGCTCTGGTTGGTTAGAGTCATCTATTAAACCACTACTTGGTTATCAAACAATAGACAGTATTAAAAGGTTTCCTTGGTGGAGTTCCTGTGCCAGGACACCTAGTACAATCTATTCATCAGCTCACCACTTGAAGATTTTCAGATATTTATTCCAGTATCACACACAAAAGTGGCCACAGCACTGTCTGGTGCCTTTATTGATAAAGAGGTTAAATAGATATGATTAATCCAAGGTGGTCACGGCCATAAGACTTGATGCTAGCACTGTGATTGCTTACTTTGAATACATCACATGATTTGACTCTCCTTTAGATGCTTGTATGGTACACTAGGTTAACGACGGCTTGAGAAAGGCACCAGAGCCTGCCAACCCATTGACTTTTGTGTTTTATGGATAAATAAAGCTTGACATAAAAAATAAAAATAAAAAAATAAAAAAAATTTTTGGACTGTAATATAATTGCAGTCAGTTTCCTTCATGAGTGTACGTTTCAGGGCCTACCAGGGCACAGTGTCACACCAGTGCAACTCATATCTGGTGTAACAGTAGTGTACATTTAAAAAAAAAAATACAATTTCGACTGTAATAGATTGAATAGCAGTTAGTTGTCTGCAAGCGTGTGTGTCAGGCCTACAGCGTCTACTCTGCCAACTTCTGCCACTGCACAGTGCCACTCATATCTGTTGTCACAGTAGCTTGCACGCATAGTACCACTAATCAAAAAAAAATGACAGGCAGAGGCAGGCCACCCCACAGGGGCCGTCGTGGTCGTGGTGCTGTGATTCCCTTTGGCCCTAGAATAATGCCCAGTGTTCAGAGGCCACGTACCCTGAACTCGAAAAGTTCTGAGGACATAGTTGACTGGCTAACACAGGACACCCAATCTTCTACAGCTTCCGCTCGGAACCTTGACGCACCATCCTCCTCCAGCTTAGCTTCGGGCACCTCTCAAGTTACCACTCGCCCGCCTGCCGCCACCACCAACACTAGCACCACAGCATCTTCACTTGGTATGTCAGAGGAGTTATTTACACATCAGTTGGAAGAAATGAGTGATGTGCAACCATTATTGCCAGAGGATGTAGATAACAGGGATATGTCTCAGTCAGGCAGCATTACACACATGGACGTATTGTGTGATGATGATGATGATGATGTTGTACCCCCTGCTACTTCCTTTGCTGAGTTGTCAGATACAAGTGAAGCGGTTGATGATGACGATGCGTCCGTGGATGTCACGTGGGTGCCCGCTAGAAGAGAAGAAGAACAGGGGGAAAGTTCAGATGGGAAGACAGAGAGGAGGAGACGAGTTGGAAGCAGGGGGAGGTCGTTGCAAGGAGCTAGTGGCACAGTCAGACAGCATGCATCGGCACCCGGGGTCAACCAGACACCACGCCAATCAACGCATGCAGTTGCCACCACCAGAATGCCGTCATTGCAGAGCTCAGCAGTGTGGCATTTTTTTTTTGTGTGTCTGCCTCTGACAACAGCGATGCCATTTGCAACCTGTGCCAAAAGAAACTGAGTCGTGGGAAGTCCAACACCCACCTAGGTACAACTGCTTTGCGAAGGCACATGATCGCACATCACAAACGCCTATGGGATCAACACATGAGTACAAGCAGCACACAAACTCAAAGCCGCCATCCTCCTCCTGGTCCAGCATCTTCAGCCATGTTAACCACTGCTGTCCTCCTTGCCCCCTCTCAACCATCCGCCCCTCCGTCTCTCGCCTTGAGCAGTTCCTGCTCATCTGCCCACAGTCAGGTGTCTGTCAAGGACATGTTTGAGCGTAAGAAGCCAATGTCACAAAGTCACCCCCTTGCTCAGCGTCTGACAGCTGGCTTGACTGAACTCTTAGCCTGCCAGCTTTTACCATACAAGCTGGTGGAGTCTGAAGCA